ACCTCAATAAGAAATTCCACAACCAGAGAATACTCAAACACAATCTCCTCAACCAGAAGATCTGAACCTCAACTCACCAATGTCAGAAATTCAACCTTCTGAAATTCCATCTTCTGATATTCCTGAATCAGAAACCCGACATGCTGCCACAAACCAATCTGAAGACTCTCATTCAGACTCTGATACCACAATCCCAATACCTGGAATAACAGAACCTCTTGCGGTTCGCATGCCTCTCACCATTCATGACATTCCAGAAATCCCTTCATCCCTTGAATCCACACCACCAAACTCCCCTAACAGACCAATTATTATTCCTGACTCTCCCACTCCTTCACCCACTAACAGTCCAGCTGATAACTCAAGACTTGTCATTGATCCAATTGTGCTGGAAAGATTAGCTTCCATCTCACACAAAACTACCATTCCCAAACCTAAACCAACTGCAACCACCTCAGATGTTGGTACAAGTTTGTTGATCTTTGAAACAGGAATGCAGAAATGGATCAAGTCTTTGAAGCATGCAAGTCAAGATATTTTTAATCCTGCTGCTTCTGATTATATGTGGGAAAGATTTAGAAAATGGGTCAACACTGAAACTTTGAAGCTGAAGGAATTGTGTTTTGAAAAGGCTCAGCAGAACTTCAGTGATCACCTGAAGGATTTCCAAGACCAAGTTCTGAGTCAACTGTTCAAGAAAGATATCCTCTCGCTGGATAATGCTCCCTGGAAAGAGCATCATCCTTCATAAGTAGCTGAACCAGAATCAGAAAGTCTCTCTCTGACTACTGCTCCAGAAAATATTATTACAACTGAAGAAATGGTTCACTCAGAAGAGGCTGCAGAATGTTCTGAGCAACATCCATCTCTTGAAGAGACACCAGTTTCCTCTTTAGTCATGCAAACTCTGGAAGAGTTGAAGAAAGAAAATGTTTTAATCCATGCAAGACTGGATAAGCAAGAGGATACGAACAAAGAAATTAAAAGTATTCTGGGTAAACAAGAAGACACTACAAAGGAAATCAGAGGTATTCTGGGCAAGCAAGAAGAGTCAAATACTCAGATCAAGAGCTTGTTAGAAGCGTTGTTCACACGTCTTCCCCCTCCTTCTTAGATTTTATTTTAAAATTGGTTATCTGTAACTTTTATATTTACCTCTTTGCTTCTGAAAATTGTCATTGCATTATGTTTTAAATATAATTCATCTATTTTGGCTATGATTATATTGCCTTTTTGATACTTGACAAAAAAGGGGGAGAAAGTAAGATATTTTCAATAATGGTTTACCGGGACAAAAGTCTCAAACATTCTGAATTATTTAACCTCTACTTTCTAAAAAGTTTAATCAGGAACAAATTCTGATAGGAGATGCAGCTAAAACTCTGATGAGAAGGAACTTCAGGGAAGTAATCAACTCAGGGGAGTTTCTCTTAAACCTTTTGTTCTTTATTTTTCATTGAAAATTCTAGTTTTTGTCATCATCAAAAAGGGGGAGATTGTTAGAACATAGTTTGATTCTACAACCCTTGATTAGAGTTTTGATGATAACAAATACAAAGAACAAATATGCACCCTAAAAATTATGTTATTTTGTATGCAGAAGTTATGACCAAAGCAGCATCAGAAGATAAGCTATAGAAGCTACACGCTGAAGCAATCAGAATTTGCGCTGAAGTTTGATGACCAGAACCTGCGCTTAAGTGAAGTAAACTCTGATTCTGAACAAGAGCATAATAAACTAAGTCATCAATATGCTGAAGCATCAGCAACAGGCAAGGATGTAAGATTCTGAAGCGTTACTATTCATTCAAGACAACATCAATTTCAACGGCTTCATTCAGGCATGATCTTCTCCAAATGGAAACTGAGTTAATGGCATTTATCACGCTTAATGATGAACAGGAATCCATTGCCTATATAAACAAGCTCAGTGATCAAATCGTTTACAATTTTGCACATACTACTCACGAGAATTCAAAAACGCAAAAAGCTTACTCATCTTTCCACGCTCTAAATTTGTGTAAATTATCACAATTGTGATAACCGTTTTTGTAACGAAAAACAACAACAGACAGTACTCTTGTTTATTTGATTAAAACAGTGTTCCTTGAGATTAACCAGATTGTGGTTGTACTCAAGAAGACTTTAACAGTTGTTAAAGTAGTGATTGTAATCCTTTTGAGATTAGTGGATTAAGACCTCGGAGAGAGGCGAAACCACCTTGAGGGGTGGACTGGAGTAGTTTGAGATCAAACGAACCAGGATAAAAATACTGTGTCATTGCGCTTTTGATTTCAAGTTTTCAATTCAACCCCCCCTTCTTGTATTTTCCACTTCTTCATTTACAACCTCAAATATGATGACAAAGATTTTGTTTTCGTTTTCTTTTTTATTTCTATGATTGAGTCACAATAACTCAATCTGATTTTATAATTAGTATAGGTCGCACAATTACATATTATAAAATATTTATTTTGTTTATTTGTGTTAAATTTTTTAAAAGATTAAATATTTTTTTTTGTTTTCTATAAATTATTAAATTTTGATTTTGGTTTCTATAAGAAAAATTAGCATATTTTAGTTTTTATAAAATTATTATACATGTAATATTAGTTTCTGCTGTTAAATCGATTTGTATTTTTGAATGATTATTTCACAGACATGTTTAGAACGTTATGAAAAGTTACTTGAAGAAAAATAACTTAAAATTTAATTTTTAAATCGAGATTTTCATTGCTTTTATCAATATTTATTAAAATTTAAAAAATTCATATTTAATTCTTCTCATTTTAAAAAATTTTAAAATTTGGTCAATAAATATTTTATAGTATTCTAAACACTTATGAAAAAAATTGATTCAAAAATTTAAGAATAATTAAACCGTTTTTAAAATTTTAGAAAATAATAGAGACTAAAATTGCGTGAACAAAATATTTGTAGCGCTCAAAATATGTCATTTTTTTAATAAAGACTAAAAATGAATTTTGAGATATTTATAGAGACAAAAATATATTTAACCTTTTTTAAAATATAGATATAAAAGAATTTTTGAAATTTTTTGAGATTAATATGGTTGATTTATTTTTAGTAAAATGAATTGTTAAAAGCTAATTAGAATATTTTGTTTTCGAGATTAATGTCAATTTCTTCAACCAATTTATTTTGACAAATCTAAAACTTAATTAAAAAAGTTGAATAGTGCCTTCAAAAGCGATTTCTCTAAGATAGACTAACGGTCAGTTTGTTTCAACTTTCAAAAAAATAGAATTTTTATTTTATATTTTAAAATAGATTTTACGAAATCAGTTTTTAAAATATTATAAGTTTTTTTTATATTTGTTTATTCTAAATCGAAACACTAATTTTGATATCCTATAATATAAACATATATTATTGAAGATATAAATATTGTTAAAAAAAAATTGTATTTCAAAAATAATTTTTTATAAAAATCTATTTGAAATAGCTATAAAATTAAGTGATTTTTTAAAATTTTGATATCTAAACAAAGTTTTTATAAAAGGTGAAGGAATTTAATTGATATGCACTAATAATGTAAAATAATTTTACACTATCAGTGAATCATGACCGTTAAATATTTTTTGAATTTTGATTTTTATTTTAATTATTTATAATTTAATATTTGTGAATGATTGTGATGCACTAACTGTGTAAAGAATTTTACAGTAATAATATATAGTAGTTAATCTCAAGATGAAATACCTAAAATAACATTTTAAAAATAATTATTTAAACTAAATTCTCATTTAAAATTTTTATTAAAAATTTCTTTATAAATTTTTTTTACACAAAATTATATAACATTTTAAAAATTATTTAAAAAAAAAAGCCAAAACAAACTGAGCCTAAAAACACATTTTTAACTAAAAATTCTACAAATTACATTTGAAAATGATCAACTGTCCTTATATGTTACAGGACTTATTGGAAAAAATAAACTAAATGATTTTGATCCATACTAAAAAAAAAAGGTTATAAGAGATTACACTCTTTAAATATTTTTAAGAAAAAAAATAAAAATATCAAAAGCTCGTATGTGTATAAAGTTCTTATCTATTTCTTTATCTTCAAGTAACCTTGTTCACAAAAGTACCTATCTATAAGGTCCACCCTTAGTATTAATGCTACCTATCACTAGTCATACCTCATAACGGCTAAATGACTTTATCAAATGGAAAATCCATCACAATATACCAACAACTTACTAACAAAAATTAATCAAGGTGTGTTGAACTTAACTATTTCCCAAGGATAAGATTATATTATGGAAATTCTAAAAACAATTATACTCTTTTGGGTAGCACCAAACTTGATCCAATATCCATTTCTGCTTAAGTTTTGTACAATTTTAAAGTTGATATTTATAAATTATAGTGACTTGGTTGATTGAGAAATGACACAAGAAAAATAATATGATCCAAATTAGTTTTATTGCTTTGAAGGGAATGTTTAAGAAACAAACATGTATAAACTTTTGTTTTTGAGAAGAGAAAAATCATTACTAACTAAAGTGATAGCGGTTTTTCAAAAATCTCTGATAAAATTTAAAACACATGTCTTTAAATTATTAGGTCAAAGTTATATTATGAATATGATATCTAAAAAATATTTATTGACTATTGTTGAATATGACACATAATTTAGATAATTAAAAAGATTACTCGAACCCGCGAAGATTATATGCACACAATTATATCATAATATCGAAAATTGCAACACAATCACAATTTGAAATTTTGCCAACATCATAATATAGTAAAATTTTGAATCCACGTAACTTAGAAACAAAGCAACATATTTCATTAATGATAGTTCTCATCCATTCATAATTTCCAAAGGAAATCCGAATACATAAACAAAAAAAATACAAGGATGAAGATACATTCATATAACAAAAACAAATGGTAGGAAATATAGTTCTTACAAATGGTCAAATAATACAAGCAAAACAGTAATAAAGGGTGGTGCAAATATGAAACTTAGTACTCCTTTGGTGTGTGAGCAATGAAACTAATGCATTGCACTTGACGGACATTGTCGAATCCAATGATTCTGATGAATGCATTAGGGTATGCAGTTTTAGCTTCTTCAAGCTCCTTCAACACTTGAGATGCATCAGTGGTACCAAACATAGGTAGCTTCCACATTGTCCAGTAACGTCCATCATAGTATCCTGGTGATTTGTTGTGCTCACGGTACACAAATCCTTTCTATATAACACAAATCAAACCAAACAATTAATACATCAACCCTAAAAAAATCTTAACTCAAAACATAGAATTCAGACTGTTTTAATCAGGTTTGAAATTCTCCGCATTTATATAGTTAACATATTTGTAGCTGTTTGATTGAGATCAAACAAAATATCGATTTTGAAATATGTATATTTAGGTCAAAAACTCAACATATACATAATTATCATGTCGATAACTATTTGATCCAGATTGAACATTTAAAAAAAAAAATTTAAAATATCAATTTTGAGATATGTACAATTAGGTAAAAAAAACTCTTAACATTTACGTAGCACATCAATAGCTGTTTGATCTAGATCGAATATTTTTTTTTTTTAAAACTAAAATATTAAATTTAAAATATGTACAATTCGATCTCAATTAAATATTTACTGATATATCAAACACGTGAATAAGCTGATCAAATACTTACACAATAAATATATTATATAGTTGTTGGATTGATCAAACTTTTCATAAAAATATCAAATTTGAAATATATACGTCAGTGTGACGTGTTAATTAAGTAAATTAAGAAGAAAAAAAAAGTTTGTAAGAGTTAATGAAATTAACCTCCAACTCAAATTCCAAGCAAGGAACCCATCCCTTCCTTATAAGGTATTCTACTTCCTTAGCCAATTGTTCCTGAGTGAGAGGTGGAAGGTAGGAAAGTGTCTCAAACTTCTTCTTGCCAATTGGTGGCCACACCTATAAATATTATACATAAAATTAAGTAAAAGGGTTAACAAAATTTACAATTTTAATTACATAATTATTACAATTATAGTATACATTGTGTACAAAATATCCCTAGAAACATAATCTAATTGTGTGAATTTAATTAACCTTATAAGCTACATAATATTTTGTACCTGCATACAGTTCACTCTTGAACCATTACTTGTAATGGAGGTAATGTCATTGTTGGCCTTCTTGGTAACCGGAAAGCCGGTCGAGAATTTGGGACCGGTTAGGGTTGTACCCAAGCTGGCTTGTACGGGGGAGGCCCGGTTAACGGTGGTGATTGCAGCGGAGGAAATCAAGGCCATTTTTCCTTCTCAACTTTTGCTTCTACTGCTTCATGCTTCAACTCAAAGTTTCTATATATAATGGTGAAATTCAGATGACATAATCTAATGGTGTGGAATGAAAAGGATTGGTTGATGAGGATTTTTAACCGTTGGATTTAATATGGGATGATGTTACGTAATATTGGCCACATGTGTAAAGTTTTGAAATGTTAGCCTTATCGTTAGGTACCACTAAGGTAATGCCACGTGGATTTGGTTTCATAATCTTATCTTTTCTTTGGAAGTGTGTGATTGTGGTGAAGTTGATATTTTTTGACATCACATTTGAGTCTTAACATGTTTGTGACCATAATTTCCTAGGTGTCTATCTTATGTTATAAGTAATAACATTTGTACCTTTGTTGTTGCTATTATATTTGAAAAGTTAAAAAATTAGAGTTATGGAAAATAAGGATAAAAATTAGGCTCAAAATAATCTCGTTGAGATTAACTAGTGTTATGAAAAAAATTGTGTGATGTCGTAAATACATTAAACAATCTTTAAGATTATGTCGTTAAAAAACACGCGTTTATGTTTATTAAACAGTTTTGACTATTAATTCGATATAAAAAAGTTTACACCATCCAATAACAAAATCATCTTATAATTAATTTGAAATTAAACTATTGGAATTAATTTTTTTTCTTCTTGTGATATTCAAATTTGAATTCGATCTAGAGGACACAATAATGATAAATATTTAAATAGAAAATTTTGTCCTACATTTTATTCTTCTTATTTTGAAAGTTTAAAATATACACCTTTTAATTTGTGTAGGTCTATTTTTTTTTAAAATTTTTGTTTGCACGAATATTAACAATTTTTTTTGATAATTAATTTTTAATCTTATATAAGACCTCATATCCGTTCCATTTTGTCTTCATATTTTATTTATGCGAAAAAGCTAAAATTTTTTATTCTATTTTATTTATTTGTGAATTTTTATAAATACATTCGAAATAGAACAAACATACTCGTTTTTGTCATTCTAAATATTGTTCTTGCAATTATACTTGAGGATATAAGAAAATTATCTTAAATTTAGATGGGTAAGTGTTATTTTCCGAAGAGGTAACATAAATATAAGAAAATTTCTTCAACTAACATTCTTATCCATTGTGTTGGATTGCCAAAAGTAGGTTCTAGCTTCATCATTACATGGGACCAATGTTTTTATTATTAAAACATTAATTTCCATTAGCATTGTTTAACTTTTGTTAGATTTTGCTTAGATTTTACAATGGCAAGTTGTACATAAGCAAATTTTTTGCATAAGATAAGAGGTGGTAAGGGGAAAGATAGGTCTTATCATGCTTGGTTGATTAGTAGCCAAACATACAATGTTGAAAACATAAGATCCACACATGACACATGCACTATAAAAGATAACAAAAATATAATCCATAAAAATCAAAAGTCAAGAATTTAAATGTGACTTTTCAATCTCATTATTTAATCTTAAAGATTAGACATTGTTTTGGATTATGTTGGTTAATAGTTGAGATTTGTACCATAATGAAATTTTCAAAATTAATTTTCAAAGAATTCTAAAATGGTTTTTTCTATGAAGGCATGTTTACTTTTTCTTGTGAGTCACACATATTTGTCTACTTGTAACGATATTTATTTCATTCATTCTCTCTGAACAAAAAACAAAATTCTTCATAATTTTACAACTGTGCAATTTTGTAAGTAGTTGAACACTTGTTCTAGAGGAAACAAAGACAGCAAAGTATGTGTGAAAAGGAACTAAGATGAATGCGATGAAGAAAAAGATCAGAAAAAGATAGACAATTTTCCATTTAAATTAATTGGTCATTCCTCCTCAGTCCTCACCATATATTACACCTAAATATTACATCAGAACATGACATGATTAAGACATTGTAATAATAAAAGGATTGGATAGTGTTGCATATATAATTGTATTTAATTATCGTTTATCTATTTGGTATTTGTACATAAAGAAAAGGAAAGTAATTAGATATAGTGTCGTAAACATTGTTTATCTAATTTTTTTTTATGTGTAATTTCTTGTAAATTCCTCTGTATTTTCAATTGAGAAATAGGACGAACCGTGCTTAAAGTACTATCATGCACGGGGAAAGGAGTGTTATGCCTTCAAAGTGTAAAATTTTTATTCAGAGAAAAACTGTTAGTTGATTAATTTTTGTTAGTTGTTATTTGGGTTTTAGTTTGTATTTGGGCTTAGGCATGTTGCCTATATAAATAGTCATTATTTTGCAATCCACACAACTGCAGTAACAATAATAACAATTTCAGTTTAAGAGTTAGTTGCACAAACTAACTTAACAATATCTCTCTCTTCTTCTCTCATCTTCTTCTTGTTTTTCACAATATTCATCTTTCTTGAATCCTTTGTTCCAACAAATTGGTATCAAGAGCTTGTTTGCGATTCAGAGAGAATCTAATGACAAACAGATCAACAACCTCAATACAATTTCCAGCAAATCTTTCGGTTTTCAAAGGTGAAAACTATCAAAGATGGGTGACACAAATGAAGGTTATTTTCAAATTTCAATATGTTGTAGAAATCGTGAATGATGGAATGTCACAACTGGAGGAAGATGCTATGGAAGTCCAGAAAGCTGCGCACAAAGATCAGAGGAAGAAAGATGGCAAAGCGCTGTTCTTGATTCACCAGTGTGTGGATTGTGATGTGTTTGAGAAGATAATCAAAGAAGAAACAACAAAAGGAACTTGAGAAAAGCTGAAGTTTTTGTATGGTGGAGATGAGAAACTAAAGAAGGTGAAGTTGCAGACTTTGAGAAAGTAGTATGAGATGCTGCAGATGAAAGAGGATGACTATGTTTCAGCATATTTCTCAAGAGCGGTGATGCTAACAAACCAGATAAAGGCGTGTGGTGAAGCGCTAACGGATCTGCAGAAGATAGAAAAGGTATTAAGATCTCTAATTGCAGATTTTGATTACTTTGTTGTGACAATCGAAGAGGCAAAGAATCTATCTGAGATAAAGTTGGAAGAACTTCAAGCTTCTTTGGAGGCTCACGAAATGAGGCTGCAGCAAAGAAACTCAAAGGAAGAAGACAACTAAATAAGCATTGTAATCAAGATTCAACAAGAAAGCTGGAAAAGAGAAATCAAAACAGTGTAAGAATCTTGCTGGTGATGAGAAGTCAAGCAAGAATACTAATTCGAAAGGAGTGAGCAACAAGTATTCTGGGAAGAAAGTTGACACAAAAGGGGTGCAATGTTACAATTGTCAAGGTTTTGGCCACTATGCTAGATATTGTCGAAGCAAGAAAGCTGCAAGGTCGAAAGATAGTGATGAAGCTCAATATAAACGAGATGGAAGTAGTGATTCTGATGCTGTGTTTTTGCTGGTGAACACTCAATCGAACACTGAAAAAAATAACATGTGGTATCTGGATTCAGGATGTAGCAACCACATGATTGGCAATAAAAACTAGTTTACCAAGTTAGATGAGTCAGTCGAAAAGGTGATAAAGTTTGCAGATGGAAAGCATATCAAATCAGGTGGTAAAGAAGACATTTCGATTATCAGGAAGGATGGTCGAAAGGCTACTATCATTGAAGTTCTGTATGTACATTCGATGACAAGTAACTTGATAAATGTAGGTCAATTATTTGCAAAAGACTTCAATATGAAGTTAGAGAATAATCAGATGAAGGTATATAGAACCGATGGGAGGCTAATCATGAAAGCACCATTGGCAGAGAACAAAACCTTCAAAGTCGAACTCAACACATCAGATGACAAATGTCTTGCTTCAACTGCAGAAGAAGACAAGAACTGGCTATGGCATCATAGGTATAGACATCTAAGCTTTAAAAGTTTATGTATGCTCAATTAGAAGAAAATGGTGCTTGGGTTGCCGTATGTGAAGGAACCAAAGTAGATATGTGAAGAATGCTGCAAAGCTAAGCAGGCAAGGAAGGAATTCAAACGTGATTTGCCTATAAGGTCAAGGCAAAAACTGGAGCTGGTTCATTCAGATGTGTGTGGACCTTTCGAAGTAAAGTCTAATGGAGGTAACATGTATTTCCTTACTTTCATTGATGAATTCACCAGACATATGTGGATTTACCTCATTGAAAGGAAAAGTGAGGTATTCACGCAGTTCAAGAATTTCAAGTTGCATGCTAAGAAACAAAGTGGCTGCAAATTGAAAAAGTAAAGAAATGATGGTGGTGGTGAATATACTTCAGCAGAATTTTCTAGATCTTGCATTGAGCAAGGTATATAACACGAGGTTGTTACACCCTATATGCCTCAGCATACTGGCATCACTGAGAGAAAGAATAGAAGTGTACTGAACATGACCAGATGTATGTTGAAGTTAAGAATATGCCTAAGAGATTTTGGGATGAAGCAACTTCGACAGCAGTATACATTCTAAACAGATTCCCAACAAAGAAGATGGTCGAAAAGACACCACATGAGGCTTGGACAGGGTCGAAGCCAAATGTAAGTCATCTTAGAATTTTTGGATCAATGTGTTTCAGGAATGTACCTGAACAATTGAGAAAGAAGCTGGATAATTGAAGTGAAGTCATGGTACTCATAGGTTATCATTTGACTGGTGCGTACGAGTTGTATTCACCAATCAAAGATAAACTAGTGATCAGTAGAGATGTTCTTGTAGACGAAAGCAAAGGATGAGAGTGGAGTCGAAGTGCAGTTCGAAAAGAATCAGACACAGTCACAACTATGTTCGAAGAAGATGAAGCTTCGACAAGTCAAAATGAACGAGGTGATACTTTGACTGTTCGAAATGAAGAACCACCTGTGCAGAACGAATGAAGATCCACAAGAACAAGAACTGAGTCAACTAGGCTGACTGGATATGAGAGGTTTCCAGATCAAGCAATACATGTTGATGGTGACTTAATTAAAGAAGCCATGATGATGGTTGAAGCAGAATCAATTGACTTGGGTGAAGCCTTGAGAGCAATTCAAATTGGTGTGAAGCCA